TATCTTTAATTGGTACCAGGGATCGTACTCAGGACTTTGTGCTTGCCAGGCAGGCACCAGCACCACTGAGTGACATCTCCGGCCCTTAAAAGGTGTATTTTAAATAGGCATTTTACAGAATATATCAATAAAAGTTAGTAAATAAACAATTGATAGGACAAGACAGTCAGGCATACAGTAGGCACTGAATAAATATTCACTGACTGAGTGATAAAGAACCCAGAATCAAGATAACTCCACAACAGGGTAGAAAAATCATATTAAAGTAGAGAGTCAAAATGGCAGGGGTAAGGAAAGCAGAACATGAGTTTAGTTTTCATTCTAAAAGAGTATCTGAAAAATCCAAGACAGCAGAGTGCAATCCAGTTATGAACTAAAAACAAATTCAGAACATGGAAAATACCTTTGTAAGAGAAATGAGTGATACTGAACTTTAAGTCTAAGGCTCATGCTGTATAATCAGTGTTAACAAAGAAGTTGGTCTGGACTGGGCGGAGAGGAAAAGACAGGGCAGAAGAGGCAAAGTAGGACGAACCCATGGAGCAGTAGCACACTCTGAGAAAAGTTAACTGGACATAGAGCGTGCTAGGGAATTTTCAAGATTCATATCTAAATGGAAAAGCAATTCAGTCCAGTTTTTCCCTTTATACAATGACAATTTTTAGACTCTTACTGGATTTTGTCATTGATCACTCCACAAATAAGCTTATTAAAATAAACTACTTGTAGCCGGGCGTGGTGGCACACCCCTGTAATCCCAACACTCAGGAGGCTGAGGCAGGAGGATCACTGAGACCAGCCTAGGCTACATAGTGAGTTCCAGGTCAGTCTCAAATACATAGTGAGACCCTGTCTCAAACCCGCCCCCGCCACAAAAAGAGATAAATAAGCTACTTGTGGGTGAAGGGAGGGCAGGGACAAGGGGAAAAAATGAGAACCAAGACCTGTCATGTAAAGGTAACAAGATCCCAATGATGAATGTAACTGTACTGTCTACCTAAAATGTGCCAATAAACTCAATGAGAGAGAGAAAAAAAAAGCTATTTGTTATTATGTACTTGATATTAGAAATACAGAGATAAATATGACATGGTTTGTCACGTTCACAGTTTTGGGCAGTAGAAAGATTAGTAACAGCAGAGGTTTTATAAAGTGCTACAGGACCACAGTGGATGGAGCAGCTAAATTCTGCTCAGAGCAATGACATCAGAGTAGCTTTTATTTAAGCCAAATCTTGAAGAAGTTGTCTCCCATGAAGAAAAAGGAAAGGGTAATAGGCCAGGAGCACAGTATGCACAAAACACAGAAATGAATAGCAAATAGTTTCATATAATTGGAATACAGGACAGCTTTAGAGGGAGCAAAAGGAGTGGAAGATGACACCAAGGACCCGGAATGAGTGGGGCTCTGTTATAAGCCTTGAATAAAGGAGAATGAGAACCACACTCTTGATTGTGAGTCTGCCACAATCTACTTTGTACTGAACTATTCCACATGAGACATCGAATAAGCTACGACTGAAATACAAGACTACTCTAGAATAAAAAGGGTTTAAAGGCCAACAATGGCCACACCTCAGGTTTGTAAAGTCTAGTTGTTCTCCTCTGTACCACACATACTAACAAAAACACGGTCTCCAATCTGCCATGAACACAGATCATACAAGCCCCTGCTGTTACTTACTCCAGAAAAGAAAGGAAAAACACATACCTTGCCATACATGGTCTTAAAAGCTGCTTTAATTTTTTGTCTCTGATCATTAGAGCGGTTGGCCACAACATCCACAATTGCCTGTTCATCTGTCCCTAGAAGAATCATAAATGTTTAAGTAAAGACTAAGTCTACTGGGTGTTCCTGTACATGTGACAGATTCTGTCACATGTACACAGGACTGGGTTTATGACATAAAGTTTATTTTTGCTTTAGAATCAACCAGTTTAACATGATAAAAGACAAAATCTGTTTTCCTTACCAAATCCCTTCATGGCTTTGCGGAGAATTTCTGCATCTCTCATAGCATCAAAGTTGGCAGCTGGCCGGATTGTCCCTTGAGTGCCCTGAGAACAAAAGGCATCAAATCCAAGTCACGATCTTCTGCTGACAATAGGCAACTGAAAGACTTTCCCAGATAGCACTCAGAGGCAAGAGGGCCAATGTTTGGGCTTTAAGGCAAGCATCTGAGCATTTTATTACCAGGAAAGACCTGTCCCACTTCTGGACAGATTCTTCTCCTGATAACAGATAGCAGCCATACACCAAACTTCCAGGAAACAGAGGTCAAACTTGTGAAATTAAAGTTATGGGGGCCGGGGACTTAGCTCAGTGGTTCCAGTGCCTGCCTTGCAAGCAGAAGGACCTGAGTTCGATCCCCAGTACAAAGAAAGAAAAAAGAGAAGAGTAGAGAAGAGCAGAGAAGGAAGAAAGTTATGATCTTCTTATGCCTTGGATTCCTTTTTGGTAGAACATGAGAAAGAGATTGATCTCCCTGTCAGAGGATCAAAGTGTTGAGATGAATGACAGTATTTGACTTAGAGGCAGAAGACAATAATGACTTCAGTGATGTATACAAAGGCACCCAATGAGTTTCAAACTAGCAATATAATTTTGTTACTTCCTACATGGACTCCAATTGTTAGACATATTGTATAATGAGAAAAAAACACAAAATAAAGGTATGTATGATTAGAGATTCTGGAGGGTACAATATTCTTCATCTATCTTATGGAAATAAACCAGAAAGCATTTTAAAAATACAAATCTACACAAAAATTAAAAATCCACCATTCAGCAAATACCATAGTAATAACTGTTTCAGGCAAGAAATATCAAGATGTTAATAGTGGGCAAAAGTATGGTGAGAATCATGAGTCTAACTTGGCAGTCACTGTCTTTTTCTTTTTTTTTTTTTTTTTTGTACCAGGGATGGAACTCAGGACCTCGCACTTGAGAGGTACACACAATGCCATTGAGCTAAATCCCTGGCCCAAGGCACCATCTTAAACAAGTGATTAAAACTAATTATCACCAGTAATTCCAACAAGTGCCTGTAGATATCATGTGCTAGGGAAACAATTCTGCGGTATTCCTACTACAGGCATGACCTGAATTTAATCAGAAGGAAACATCAGACAAACTCGGACTAAGAAATTTTTTTTGTTTTGTTTTGTTTTTTGAGACAGGGTCTCACTATGTAGTTGAGACTGACCTGGAACTCACTATGTAGCCCAGGCTGGTCTTGAACTCACACCAATCCTCCTGCCTCAGCCTCCTGAGTGCTGGGATTATAGGCGTGCGGTACCACACCCGGCAAGACCAAGAAGTATTTTATAAGCCACATATGGTGGCACATGCCTGTAATTCCAGCACTTTTGGAGGCAGAGACAGGAGGATTTCAAGTCTGAGCCTATCCTGGGCATTTTAGCAACTTAGTCAGACCCTGTCTCAAAAAAATAAATAGGGGTGGGTTCAATCCCCAGTAGAGAAGTGTGAAGGCCCTGGGTTCAATCTCCAGCAGAGGGGGAAAAAATAGATGAAAGAAAATTTTCTACAAAACAACTAATAGTGCTCTTTAAACGTATCAAGATTCCTTTTTCCCCACAACCCCACCAGCATTTGTTAATGGTTGATTTCATAGCAGCCATTTTTTGGGGTGAGGTGGAATCTCAGCATTGTTTTCATCTGCATCTCTCGAATGACCAGTGAAGTTGAATATTTTTACATATACTTATTTTCTGCTTTTACTTGTCTGAGAAGTATCTGTTCATTAAAAAAAAAAGAAAGAAAAGAAGGAAATGTCTGTTATTTCAGATGCCAATTTTTAAATTGGGTCTTTATATTTGGGGGGGCTCTGATATTTTGACTTCTTTTTTTTTGGTACCGGGGATTGAACTCTGGTCCTTGCGCTTGCAAGGCAGGCCACCGAACCGCTAAGCTAAATCCCCGGCCCTTGAGTTCTTTATATATTCTAGATTGTAGACCTTTGTCTGAGGAGCAGCCGGTAAAAATTTTTTCCCACATTGTGGGTTGTCTCTTAGTTCTGCTGGTGGTTTCTCTTGCAGTGCAGAAGCTTTTTAATAAGATGAGATCCCAGTTGTTGATTCTTTGCACTAGTTCCTGTGTACTGAAGATTTGTTCATAAATTTTTTTCCTATGCCAATGTCTTTGAGAGTTCTGCCTAACTGATCTTCCAGCAAGTTTAGTGTTTCTGTTTTAATATTTAGATCTTTTTTTTTTTTTTTTACTGGGGATTGAACTCTGGTCCCTGCGCTTGCAAAGCAGGCCACTGAACTGCTGAGCTAAATCCCCGGCCCAATATTTAGATCTTTTTTTTTTTCAGCTTTGAGTTTATTGGTACATTTTAGGGATACAGTACAGTTACATTCATTGTTGGGAATTTGTACCTCTACATGACAGGTCTTGGTTCTCATTTTTTCCCCTTGTCCCTGCCCTCTCTTCACCCCCTCCTCCCCTTCCCATCTACAAATACTTTATTTCCATCTTTTCATTATCTTACATCCAATATTTAGATCTTCAATTCACTTGGATTTTAGTTCAGTGAATGGTGAAAGATAGGGGTCTAGTTTTAATCTTTGGCAAGTTTTTCCAGCACCATTTATTAAAGAGGCTATCTTTCCTCCAGTGAGGATGGTTGGCTCCTTTGTCAAAGATGAGGTAGCTGAGTATGTCTGGAGTTGTTTCTGCATCCTCTTCTAATCTATTCCACTGATCCTCTGATCTATTTGTTTGCCAGTACCATGCTGTTTTTTTTCACAGTGGCTTTGTAGTATAGTTTTAAATTGGGAATTGTAATACCCGCTGCCATGTCTCTGTTGCCTAGAATTGCTTTTGCTATTCTAGGTCTCTTCTGGTTCCAAATGAAGTTTTTGGACTGTTTTCTCTAGTTCTGTGAAATATACTGTTGGGATTTCTATTGGGATTGCACTGAATCTGTATAACAGTTTTGGAAGTATGGTCATTTCCCCTATATTACTTCTTCCTACCCAGCAGCAGGGGATGTCTTTCCATTTTCTTATATTCTCTTCGATTTCTTTTTTCAGAGGGCTGGTGTTCTCAATGTAGAAGTCTTTTGCTTCTTTTGTTAGATTGATTCCTAGATACTTCATTTTTTTGGATGCTGTTATGAAAGGGACTGTTTCCCTAATTTCTCTCTCAGTGAGTCTGTTATTTGTGTACAAGAAGGCTATTGATTTTTGAGTGTTGACCTTGTACCCAGATACTCTACTGAAAATGTCAATTAAATCTAGAAGTCTTTTGGCAGTGTTTCTGGGTCTCCTACATAGAGTATCATATCATCAGCAAATAATGACAGGTTGTTTCCGTGCCTGCCTCATAAGTGCAAGGTCTGGAGTTCGGTCCCCGGTTCTGAAGAGTACCATATCAATGTTATTGTTACTTCCTGATTTTGATCACTATAGTGAATTTTCATAGAAAGTTTTAATGCTTGGAAATAGAATAAGTAACATATAGAAATTCTTTGTACTATCTTTGAAAATTTTTTGTAAGATATTCCAAAATTAGAAGTTAAAAAAATTTTTTAATACAATGCTATGAAGTAGTTTTCTTAAAATGCTCAAGTCAGGACACTTAAGAGGGATCGAATGATCCTGGTACTGAAAACAAAACAAACAAAAATTAAAAAAAAAAAAAAAAAAAAAAAAAAAAAAAAAAAAAAAAAAAAAAAAAGGAGGAGGGATGGAATGAAGCAAGATAATATAATATTCCATGAGTTTAAAAAAACTTTTTAGTTGTAATAATATTTTACTTAACCCAATATCCCCAAAGTATCAGCACTGAAATATGACATCAATATCATTCCAAGAAATAAAATGATCAATTGTTTTTAGGCAAATGAAACTAAATTTTTGGGGTTTTTTTTTGTTGTTGTTTTTTGAGACAGGGTCTCACTATGTAGTTGAGACTGACCTGGAACTCACAGCCATCCTCCTGCCTCAGCCTTCCCAAGTACTGGGAGTATAGGCGTGCGCCACCACGCCTGGTTGAAACAAAATTTTAAATTATACTTTTTTGCATGTGTGTGTATGTATGTCTGCATGTATGGTGCACAGAATGAAATCCAGGGCCTCACATGCACCTACGCAAGCACTCTACCATCAAGCTACATCACCAGCCCTAAAATAATACTCACTAAATACAGCAATACAATCAATACTTGCAAGGACAAAGTAAATGGGGAGAACAAGACATGACCATGCCAACAAACATTTCTTTCTTTCTTTTTGGGGGTACTGGGAATCAAACTCAGGGCCCCATACTTGCGGGGCAGGCACATTGCCACTGAGCTACAACCCTGGCCCCCAGTCTTTTTTTTTTTTTTGGGGGGGGGTAGTAGTGGGGATTGAACCCAAGGCCTTTGCACTGAACTACATCCCCATACCTTTTTTAAAATTCTGAGAAAGAGTTTTGCTATTTTGTTGAGTTACCTGTGGTAGGCTTGATTTTTATGATCCTCCTACCTCAGCTTCCCAAAGTTGCTGGCTCTATGGGTGTGTGCCTGACAGCAGTCTTTCAACAAAACTATTTTTAAAAAATAAATTTTATTTTATTTTTTTCCTTTCTTTCCCTCAAGTCCCTCCCCTCCCTATGTACAAAAGCTTTATTTCCATTTTTTCCTTCTAGCATCACTTTTGTTTCAAGAAAACTATTTTTAAAAATTAATTAAATGGTGCTAGGGATCAAACACAGAGCCTGACCATGCTAGGCAAGTGCTGTACCACTGGGTTACATTTCCACTCCCAAGAAAACAGTTTTATGGTCACTAATCCCTTCCATTTACAGATAGTTTACTACAGGACTTTATTCTATCAATAAGGTTTAGTATCCTTAGAATTAGGTTCTAAGGAGGGAATGTAAGCAGATAACTAACAAGAAATATTCCTATGGTGATTTTAAGGAAAAATTAAAAATCGTTCTACTTGTAGCAAATACTCAAGTGTAAATTTTTTTCAACATATTGCCCTTATATAAAACAATGTATCAAATAACTAAGATAGTTTTCTTTGGTGTAACTACTGTCACTTATATTCCAAGGAGAGTAGAAGCCTTACTGGCCCAGACAGTAACAAATTAACTGTCACTATGCATCCTCTGAGGATTCCCTCTTTTCTTCAAAAGAAAAAAAAAATTTTTTTTTTTTAATTTTTAACTGTAGGGGAAAATGTTGATATATTCTCTGCTGAGAATCTAAGTGTGAAGTAAATACTCAGGAATACTATCATCCACTTGGCTTTAATGTTCAAGGAAATCAGAGTCAGTGCTCTTATAATCAAAACTTGAAGGGACATTTCTCACTACTAGAAGTTCGAATCTTTGATGTCTACTTGATTCCAACCTTCCTGCTGAAAGCTGTCACAGACTAGAGAATTAAGATCAATCAGGAGAAGTCAGCTGGTTTAATTCCCCACCCAAGCCAGAAATTTTCATTTATTCTTCCTTGATTCACACAGATATTAATATTCTTATTCTCTCTCTCTCTCTCTCTCTCACACACACACACACTCACACACACACACACACACACACACACTTGCACACCTATAGTCATATCAACCAACCTCTACCTGTAGACTTTAATTACAGGGACCTCATCTCACAAAGTAGCCTATTCTACCCCCATCTGAAAGTGTTTCTGAAGACTATCACTCCATTAACTTCTACCTATGGGTTCTAGATCTAACTTAAAGTGCTAATTGTTACACAAAATAAGTTGTATGTGTATGTACTTTACTTTTAGTGTCTTATGTTTAAAAATCTTTTGTATGTAGTCACGTCTATAAAATTATGTAAATGTTTAATCTGAAACAAAATCTGAAATTCTCATAAACTTCACAAAAGTTAATTAACTACAGATACATAATACAATGAACAATCAACTTCAATAATAGAAGGCATCAGAGCCATATACTACTATGTGCTTTGGAGGAATATTTACACCATCAGTAAACCAGCACTGTGTAATGGAGCAACTGCTGGTCTGAAAGTCAGAAGAGCTAGAATCTGGTCTCAGCTTGGTCTTACACTAGCCATGTGGTCACAGACAAGTTTCTCAACCTCTCTGGAGCTTAAATTCTTCAAACAGGAGAGTGAGCCAAAACAATCACTAAGGTATTTCCTTTCTAATTGTAGTCCTTCTCTTACTAGCCCAGGACTTGAAAATGCTAGACATTCATGATCATACAACATGGAAATCAATAAGCAAATCCATTTGTGGCAGTGTCAATAGTTTTACATTGAAAGAAAAAAATAGCCTGGGATTTAGCGCAGTGGTTCTACCACCTGCCTCACAGGCTCAAGGTCCTGAGTTCAATCCCCAGTACCAAAAAAAAGAAAAAAATAGTTTTCATACAGCAAAAAAAAAAAAAAAAAAAAAAAATTTTAAAAAAAAAAAAAAAAAAAAAAAAAAAAAAAAAGCAAATCCAAATAAAAGCAAAGATAAAAGTGTTACATTTATGCTCCCAGTGACTTGCACAGGATATAAAAGAGTATGGCAATTTAATAATAAAACAGTATTAAAATAAGGACGCATCAGAGATTAGGTAACAATTTCATATAGTGTGAGAAACCTGCAGCTACTGAGTAATCAATTTAAGATTTAACAGCTACTATGTTTAGAGTCCTACAAAGAAAAAACCCATATAGTTGAGTCCAAGAAAGTGGCAAGAGACAAGTACATGAGATGACATAGACAAATGAGGCCACAGATACAGAACCCAGTGATTAGTGAACATAAGAAAACCTTACTCACTTCACTGCTATAATCCAAAGAAACAGGAGAGAAAACAGGATAGGAAGGGAAGGATTCTGTACTCATCTGAAAGAAGAGTGAAAAGTTATAAAGGCAAAGTAGAAAACAAAACCACCCTTCAAAAATCATTGGCAGAAATACCAACTACAGCTGGGGATTTAGCTCAGTGGTTCTGCTGCCTACCTCACATACACAAAGTCCCAAGTTCGATCCCCAGTACCAAAAAAAAAGAAAGAAAGAAATACCAATTACTGAGACACCCAAATTAATAGTTATGATGGTTGGTAAGGGCAGGGCAGATGAAAAAGAATTAAAACCAGTATTAGGAGCCCAAGTTTATCTCAAGGATCAAGTTATGGGCAGCATCATCTGGAAGAAAAGCCTATGCTTGACTTATCAAAGTTATCAGGACAGAACTTAAAGCAGACAGACCAAAGAAAGGCAAGCACAGGGTGTATCAGAAGCAAACATTAAAATCTTAAATTACTGGGAAAAATCATTCCCCTATTTCATGGAAGCCACTAGTGTCAGCAAAGGAGTGGTACCCTTGTCCAGTTCATTACCCAGACCGAGCTCAAAAGGTCAAAGAAAAATACCTGGCTAGGGTAAGGAGTCTGTCCCCCAGGATACTGAGAGGGCATCTGTCCTCCTGGATACTGAGAGGGCATCTGTCCTCCAGGAAAGCCACCTGTATGTTAAAAAACACATACACACACACACACACACACACACACACACACACAGAACAACAGGTTATATTACTTAATTTTTTCAAAACTATTCATTGATCGCTATGAATACAATAACATAAGAACATGCATTCATACTGTGTCATTCACTAGGATAATTTTTTTACATACCAGTATCATGATTTACTGAATCTAAAACCAAATTTTTTCACAAAAACATTTCCCTCCTATTCTTTTTGTGAAAGGATCTCTAAAAGGCTAAATTGCCGAGGCTGGGCCTGAACTTGAGATCTTTCTGCATCAGCCTCTCAGAGTGTTGGGGTTATAGGCAGATGCCATCACACAAGACTATAAGAACCTTGGGCCAGAGATTTATCTCTGGCACCGCCTATGCCTATCTTGCAAGCGCAAGGTCCTGAGTTTGATCCCTACTACCAAAAAAAAAAAAAAAAAAAAAAAAAAGACTATAAAAACCTTTTTAATATTCCATATTTTACATAAGATCCCAACAAATAATATTTTTAAAAAAGAAAACACTTTAATTAAATTCAGTTCTAGGGCCGGGAATTTAGCTTAGTGGTTCTGCTGCCTGCCTCGCAAGCACAAGGACCTGAGTTTGATCCCCAATACCAAAAAAAAATAAAAAAACAAATAAATTCAGTTCTAACTCCACCTGAAATGGCTGATAATAGAAAGCTGAGGCAGGAGAACTGCCACAAGTTTGAAGGTAGCCTGGTCTGCATAGGGAGTTCAAGGCCATCCTCAAGCAAATAGTGAGACCTTGTCTCCAAAAAAACAAAACAAAACAACCTAACCTGGGGCCAGGGATTTGGCTCAGTGGTTCTTCTGCCTACCTTAAAAGTGCAAGGGTCTGAGTTCCATCCCTGGAACCCCCAAAAACAAAACAAAACCCAACCAATCAAGCAACCAAACAAACAAAAGATATGGCTGACAGGGTGGCTTCATTTATGGTATGGACTTGGGCAGAGATGTTCCTAAAGGATTTACTTTTTGGCTTTGGAACAGATCTTTTAACAGAAAAAGTGGCTACTTGTCTCCATTTTAGTAAGTTCGTCCATCTAGTTAATATATTTAATGAAACCAAGTATTTAAAATTACTTATAGAAACACATGAGAGTTCACTGAGGACAAACCTAAACATAAACCTAACTTCTTTCCATAGAAGTTGAAAAATGTATGGTGTATAACACTGTTTCTCTCCGGGCAGCTGGTACCTACCAGGTAATGGGCCCTGTGCTGGTCCACTACCACCGTAAGTCTGTGCGGGTGGCTGGGGGTAGCCAGAAAAACCTGATCCACCTGGTGGGGCTCCAAATCCTTGGCCTGGAGGAATGACAGAAAAGAATAGTCCAACAAAGTATATTGAAAATGTCTCATGACTGCAGAGAAAACTTCAGAAAAATATTACCAGCTGAGAAACTGCTATAGTAGCAGGCTTGTCTGTATTTCAATCTCTCATCAATTCCTCCCACAGTAAAAAACAAATTTAAAAGTTTTACTACATTCTTTTTCTTTATTAAGTTATAAGACAAATTGCTAAAGTTTTGCTTTTTTTTTTTGGTGTTTTGAGACAGGGTCTCACTATGTAGTTGAGACTGACCTGGAACCCACTATGTAGTCCAGGCTGGTCTCGAACTCCTGCCTCGGCCTCCCAAGTGCTGGGGTTACAGGCGTGAGCCACCATGTCCGGCAGCTAAAGTTTTGCTTTTAACCTTCAGATAAAGCTGTCCTAATGGTCACAGTCATGCTAACTAAAGTGCCTTATTCAGTTAAGACTATAAATACTTCAAAGTGTTATTATTAAGACATTCATACCTTAAAGTTTATTCCTTAAGACTACTTCCACCTTTCAGACCCTCTAAGAGCTTTATCCCCCTATCTTGCCATTTAGGTCTTTAATAGCCAGTTAGCTAAGAGTGAAGCTTGATCTCTTACCAAAAAAAAAGAATGAAGAGGTTAAAAGAGAAAAGGCACTTCAACAATCCCCAATCACTACCAATTTCACAAGCCCTAACTCACCTCCCGGGTAGGGTGGAGCTCCCCCTGGCTGTGGGGCACCAGGACAGCCTCCAGGGGCTGGATAACCTCCAGGTGCAGGGTAGCCTCCAGCTCCTGGGTAACCGCCACTTGGTGCTGGGGGGTAGGCACCTCCTCCCATTGGAGGAAAGCCACTAGGATAAGCATACTGACCAGGCGGGGGAAAAGATGACTCCTGACCCGCAGGCTGGAAAAATCAGAAAAATTTTCAATTGAATATGATCATAGAGAAATATGACCTATCTTTTAAAAAGGAACAAAGATTACTATACATGTCTCCGTTTTTTGTTTTTATTTTTTGGTATTAGAAATAGAACTCGGGATCTTATACTTGAGAGGCAGGCAGCACCACTGAGCTAAATACCTGGCCCCCCATTTTTTTTTTTTTTTTTAAACTTTTTAAATTTCTACTGGGTGTGGTGGTACACACATGTAACACCAGAAGTCAAGAGGCTGAGGCCAAGAGGATCAGAGTACCAGGCTAGTTGTGGCTACATAGTGAGTTCAAGGCCAGCCAGACCCCATCTCAAAAAAACAAAACAAAACAAAACAAACAAAACAAAACAAAAATACATATATATAAAAGTTTCATTAGAAATCCTGGTGTCTCGAAATAGTTTATCAGGCTGGGCATGGTGGTGCATGCCTGTAATCCCAGCACTTGGGAGGCTGAGACAGGAGGATTGCTGTGAGTTTGAGACCAGCCTGGGCTACTTAGTGAGTTCCAGGTTTCTGTCAAATACATAGTGAGACCTTCTAAAAAAATAACAACAAAAAAAAGTTTATCGGTATTATACTAGTTTTTCAGGACATTTGTTTCCAGACTCAGTTAAACTTAATTCTATTTGGGTCAGGGAAGAGGGCTCCATTTTTCTACTTAAGAGCCAGAATTAAGGGGCCGGGGATTTAGCTCAGTGATACTGCACCTGTCTTGTAAACAGGGTCCTGAATTCGCTCTCCGGTACCAGAAAATAAACAAATGCATAAGCCAGAACTAGGTTCTTACTAAGCCTTAAAGCTTTGGAACAACAAAGCTCATTTTTCTAACCTCTAGAAATAGGGTAAAGATCTTCTTCCTCTTTAGCCTAAAGAGAGGAATTTGTGGCTCTTGCAATATATCTGGAGTTATTGTATAAGATTCAAGAAGTAGCCCAAGTCACACAGGGTGTAACATTTTGGATGTTAGTTCAGACCAGACAGTGTTTAAGAGTAGCAGAGATTATTGTGTTTGATAAACTCTAGCCAGGTGTTGGGGGCATGCTATCCCAGCCACTTGGAAGGTCCAGGCAGGAAGATTATTGGGACTCAGGAGGTCAAGGCCATGCTGGGTAACATAGTAAGCCTTTGTCTCTAAAGATTAAAAACAAAAACAGATTCTCCCCAGCTACAAAATTATAGTACCACCTTGCAGTTAGCTAAGAGGACATGACTGAATACTTATGAGTGAATACAGAAATGATGCACATCATGTACAGGTTGGCTCTAAAAGTCTCTATGCTCCCTCTCTTCCATCATCTGCCAGCCAGATGCAGAGGATGCAGCAGAGGACTCTGAAGTGCTTAAAGGATGATGTGATCAGTACAAGGAATCTATAAACTAAAATACTGTAAGAAGCAAGTCCTCTCCCAACCTCTTACTACCCCCTAACCTGACACTGACTTCCAGGAAACTGAAGCAAGCAAAAAATAACTTTTTACTGTGTTGAGCCATGGATATTTTAAGATTGTCTATTTTAGCTACTGATCTGAAATGGTTGCTAGAGTTTGATTTAGTACATAGGTGTTTGGAAACATTCATAATTCTCATCTTAACCTATGATAAATTCAAGAGAGCTACATATTCACTTTGTAGAAAGGTATGTACATTGTCATTCACATGTATAGGCTCCTCTTTATAGTCTCCCAGAGTTAGATAACAGCCTTATATACTTATAAACATAAAGCTGAAATGCATTAATTCCTATGTCTCAACTAAGAGTTTAGTCCTCAGAACAGTATAGCTATCAAGTCCAGGGCCCACTAATACACCATGTTTGACTTCTGAGTCAAGCTCTTAATTATTTAAACCTAACACAAAGGTTAAAAAAAGTGATTCACAGGATCAGTTTAGATTACATACTTGTTTTATTGGCTGACATTGCAGCAATTAACTTTTTTTTTTTTTTTTTTTTTTTTTTTTTTTGGTGGGGATTGAACTCAGGAGCTTGTGCTTGCAAGGCAGACGTGGTGTCACTGAGCTAAATCCCCAGCCCCAGCAATTAACATTTCTAAAAACTGACTTGCAAATTTCAAAACTTTGGGCAATTTCACATAAAATTCAGGTTTCTGGCTTTAGCTGAAGTACTAAAATAATCGCTTCTTGATCTTTTGCCAAGATCAAATGAAGTACTAAAATATCCAGCAGTACTAGATTGACCCTCTGCCTGATCACATGGGGCCAGAGATGAGCAGCCATTGATTTCCACACACACAGAAAAGTTCTCCCTGGTTTCCCCACAACACCTAACTTCACTCACTAATTCTACTCAGTACCTCTGTGCACTTGACTTATGACTTCTGCTCTAGTACATCTAGAGGTCTGTCATGAGATATTCCTATGTTTCAGGGATCAGAGTCATTTTTTTATCTGAAGTGGCAATACTTACAGGATATCCAGGAAAAGGCGGGTAGCCTGTTGGGGGATAGCCTGGGTATGACATTCTGTAACAACAATAAAAAATGTCCTTTGTAATTTCTTGTATGTTTTAAGGCCTTTGAAGATACACAGATACACGTGTAATCATACACACATACTGTTTTATGGTATTAAAAGGTGGACATTAGGGGTATATGCAACACGAAAATGCTTCATTTGACCATATGTACAGTAAGGAATTCATTTATGTTTTCATACCATGCAGTTTGTCATATGAATTCCACCAGTACTATTATTTATGGAATATTTTAGACCAATTAATTTTCAGTTAAATTTATTTTAAAAGTATGCATCCTTTCACTTTCATAAATGGAAAACTTGGAATAGTTTTCCTGACACAAAATGAAGGTAACAATAAAATAAAAATATAATTATTAAAAGAAAAAATGCTTTCCAGGAGCTATAGAAATTCCTCTATATGGAGACATAACCCCAATATGGGAAATGATGGTTTAAGAATGAAAGAAATGAAGAAGAAAATAAGAAATAAGAAGAAAGAAATGACATATTGGTCTAGAAATGTTAATTTTTTTAATTTTTATTTTTTTATTTTTTTCCATTTGTACAGGGGTAACGCACTGTATTAAATATGTACGGTCATATCTACGTGTGTTTGATTACAGAAACGAATAAAGTATTCTCTAAATAATGAAAAAAAAGAATAAGATAAGACTGCAAGAGCAAGAAGCAATTTAAATATGTTCAGGGACCATTTTCTTCTTCAGAATTAAGGATTATTTTAATCTTACATCATTGCCTTTTCTCTTTTACTTTCCTTTTTAGTTTTATTTTAGTATTCCCTATTTTTAATGTTCATACAGAGATTTCTTTAACTGAAATACCGAATAGTTTTTCTGGTGTGAAAAACTGTAATAGTACACAGGATCCTAATGAGATAATTAATAATGTGAAATAGGAAGTAAAGGGCTAAAGGTGTAGGGAAAGTGGGAAGGGTGGGGGAAAGGTGATAAGGGTGAGGAAAAAAATAGGAGAAGTTGAAAAAATGGAAATAAAGTGTTTGTAAATGGGGAGGGGAGGAGAGGGTGAAGGGAGGGCAGGGACAAGGGGAAAAAATGAGAATCAAGACATATTATGTAAAGGTACAGGATCCCAATAATGAATGTAACTGTATTGTATACCTGGATTGTACCAATAAACTCAATAAAAAGAAAAAAAAAATTTAAAAAAAGAAGAAAGAAATGAAATGAAGAAAGAAATAAGAAGAAATGAAGGCTTAAGAGTTAACACTCTGAGCCAGGTTTAGTTTAGGTTTAGCCAGGTTTAGCCAGGTGAGGGCCTATGGTCTGAGCTCCTCAGGAAGACAGAGGATCCTTAAACCCAGGAGTTCAACAAAACAAAATTATGTTCTGGAGTAACACATATTGGATTAAATCCTGGCTTTTATTTTTTTAACTTTTAGTTATGAAAAATTTTAAACTATCCAAAAGCCAAGATAGTGCTGGGGATTTAGCTCAGTGGTTTTGCCGCCTGCCTTGCAAGTCAAGGGCCCCAAATTCAATCCCTGGTACCCAAACAAAAACAAACAAACAAAAGCAAAGATAAACCCCATGGGCATCTCTCAGCTGCAATATTTACTAATTCATGGCCATATCTCTCACTTTTAACTACTCCACTGGATTATTTTAAGGAGATTTCAGACACTGTGTCATTTTAGCTTACTTATGTCTTAATATATATACACACTTCAGTATATTGCTTTATAAACATGATTACTTGTTAAATAATTATCCACGTTGTTTAAAAAAATATATCCATGTCATTATAATACCTGAAATTAGCAATTATTCCTTAATACCATTAATGAGTTAGTGCTAAAAGTTCCAATTATCTTCTAAATGTTTTTATTTTTTGTTTTGCATTAACTTATTATAGAAGATTTCAAACATATTCAAAAGGAGAAAAAAGTTTCAGGTAGAAATACATGGTATTAATGAATCACAGTTCTGACCTACAAAGTCAGTTTTAGCAGATATCCAGTCATAGTCAACCCTACCCCCAACCACTATGCTCCTGAGGTTATTTTAAAGCAAACCCTCAGACATCCCACCAAAAAATCATGAGGATTTCAAGATCTTCTCAGTCAAAACAAACAAAAAAACCCCACAACTCCTTTTTTTTGATACCAAGGATTGAACTCAGGACCTCACACTTTCAAGGTAGGTGGTGGAACCAATGAGCTAAATATCCAGCCCTTCCCAGCCCTCTTTTAAAGCGCATACTGTACTTTACATTTTTAACAATTCCTTAACATCATCAAATACTCAGTAAGTGTTCAGATTTTCCCCAAATGACTCAAAATATTTTGTTATTAAAAATCAGTGTGTGTGCATGTATATATACACACACACTGATTTTTAATATATATACATATATATATATTTTTTTTTTCCATATATCCTAACCAGGTG